AAAATGTTGCTGGCTACAAAAAAGCATCAAATATACTCTTGAAAAAAAATTCATATTTTTGTTTCTAAGATTCCAATTCGAAAAATTTAAAAAACGTTTCAAGGTAAGACATAATACTTTATTATTTCAAAGTAAAAACGAGAAAATTTTTTTTTTACAAACGGGGCTTGGATGAAGTTATTTAAATTTTTCACCGTTTTACATATCACCCTGTAGGAAATTTACTTGAAGAACCGTGAGCTTCATATCTATAGCATAAATTGCCAGAGAACGGGGCTAGCCAAGATACATACACCTTAAGATAGGATGGTGCGCATGTTGGGCGGGGCTTAATGACGTCACTTGATGAGTGTTTTTAAATCTTTAACGTGCTTTTTAATTATCTGCTGCTAAAATTCTTGTTTTTGCGATGCTTTTGGATGTTAACTTGCTCTACTTTTTGTTTAACTTGTCATTTTTGTGTTCGGTAAGGTTCGAATTACTTTTCAGCGTTCAAATTATTGTTATTGCGTTAGGTTAACCTGTTAGGTTTGTTTATTATTGTTTTTGTGTTGCGTTAACTTGTTTTGTTTGTGTTTTAGATTGTATAGTGCCATTTGCATTTATTAAAATGCGGTGTGGCATATTTGGATGCAATTCGGACAACCAGTCCAAGAAAAACCCTTTAAATAAAAACATTAAATTTAATCGATTCCCGAAAAAGTTTGATTTGTGAAACAGTGTTTAAATGCCACAAAAATAATAGACAATATTTACGTTAAGACCGCTTCTGTTTCCTATAAACATTTTCTGGACAGTGACTATAAGTTTAATTTAAAACACCAACGCTTAAACTACAGCCCTAAATGTTGTCAAGGACTGAAAGCATTTATTATCCATATTATAACACTTTCTTCAATATTAAGTTTAATAAAAACGCACTATGTCCAGAAATTTCTCTATTTTCTTTGATAATATTACTATTATTCGTGTATTCGCACGGCAACTACTCATCAAGTGACGTCATGCGCGGGATGAACCAAAACTCGTACAGTAGAAACCACTAATATATGAACGTGACTCATCCGACACATTCGTACGAAGCAATCTATCGAAGGTCACGGTCCAGTGCAGTCCCGTTTGTAAAAAAATTTGAGTGTAATGTTGGTTGCTCTACTTATGATATATTTGCTTTTAAAGTTAAATAATTAACATCTAACATAATTAACATCTACGATAATTAAATAAAATGTAATTTTCTTAGAAACTAATTAATAAATAAACTTTTCTTTTAACTTTAATGAAATATTCTATCATCTGATTACAGAACGTACACTCGTGGCGACATCTCTGATTTTAATAACAAATTTTTAGACCGACCCAACCTCACTTTCTTCCAATTAAATTCTTAGTATAGTCTGAAACACGTTTGGAATTGCATATTCCCCTCTCGTGAAACCTTCAAACTTGTTACAGAATATACTATTCTTTTAACTGTAAACGCAAATATTTCAGAATTGGTGACAAAAAACAAAAATGTTTACGCAGGTCAGGTACAAAGTGAAAGATATTTAAATTGTGTGGATATAAAAACAACTTGCGTTAGTTTCACGAAATTTATTAAATATTGACAATTGTTTCGCTACACAGTAGCTTCTTCAGAATGTATTAAACTAATACTAGTACAAAATTTATATGTATAATAAAAATATTTTTGTATTCTAGCCTAGAATTTCTAGGTAAGGATTTTTATACGACATCTACCTGTGTTACATAATATAAACCACTGCCACTACAACGTTTAAAACGATTATTAATCCGTAAACACACAGTAGAAACACGATATGCAAAAACAAAGATCATATGACATATAAAAACAAATGGCCGACGGTAAAGTTGGTTGCCTTACTATGTAATAAAATAAAATAAATTCCTAAAACACGAACTCTACTGACTTCCAATAAAATTAAGTAACAAGCTAGGACACAAGCGTCATATGTCCATCTTTGTCCAACACCTAGGCAGTTTTACATCACAGATGGCGCATTTTAGACCGGATGCTTAAAAACCTACGTGTGAGTACACTTACCGCTGCATCGAATGTACAAGACAAGTAAAACATTACTGCTAGCATGTCTGAGATATGTTCGGCACCCGATGAGTCACGTTCATATATTAGTGGTTTCTACTGTACACGGGAGCATCCAGCCCTGGGGGCTAGCAGACATCACAAACCAAAATAAAATCGTTCAGGAACCAAAAAAGTTATGTCGTTTTGAAAAAGGACGAAATTTTTGGTCGCGACACATTGACTGATGCGCAGTTTAGAACAGTAAACATTCTACTAGCATTTTGGATATCTTCATGTTTGCTTTGTAGCATCTTAGATATATACTATAGTAGTTGTTGTATTAAGAGTTGCATTAAAAATTTTTGTCTCTAGTACAATCAAAAAAACTATTTCAAATTTGTCTAATTTGGCTTTAATTAACTTAGCCTCTTTAATTTCGTCTTTATTTAAAGATGTTAATATAATTTTAGATAAAGCTTTAAGCACAGAAGTATATCTAAAACGCAAAGCATGTAAGGCGTCATGCCTGGAAGACCACTGAGTGGGTGTTAATCATTTAAGAGTAATATTACTCTAAAATTTATAACTCTCAAAAAATGATAAAAGTAAAGCCCATCTTTTAATACTATGGCCAAAATATACATAGACATGTTCAAAAAAATCATAAAAGTCTTTAACCTCGGTAACATTTTTTACAGAGTCATTTAAAACCAAATTTAAATTATGTTGTGTCATAATAACAGAAAAAAAAGATGATAGTTTAATGTAATCAATAATTTTACTTTTAATTGCATTTCCTAAAAGACAAATTACTTCATTTTGTACATCTGGAATAATAATAATAATAATAATAATAATAATAGGCTTTATTTCAGAAGACATATACATGTGTAGAAAACGTCGAGGTAAATTTGAAATAGACAAACATAATACATAAGAAATTACAAAATGGTTCATAATGTACATAAATAAAATCTTTGGTTGCTAATATTGCGGCAAGATTATCAGTCTTTAACCTGTTTCTTAAATCAGTTTTTACATTATTGAGGCCGCTAAAATACGCTCAACACTAGCGTTTGAAAACGGCAAAATTAATAAAAGACCTATTACAATTTTTAAATTATAATAGGACAGATTTCTCCACCGCCAGCATTTTTTAATTTAAAAACTTTTGCCCAATACTTATCAGCTGGTAAATTATAATCCGGACCTAAATTAGCATGGCTTAGTAAAGCGTGATTTCGCCATTCGTTGTCCAATTCCTGTTTGTTTATAATTTTGTTCAAAAACGAAAATCGACTTAAAACATGAGATAATGTATTTTCTTCGTAAGATTGAGCGGTTCTTGGCTCCAAAATATTAAGGACATTAAAGAGTTCGTCAGCAAATGTAAAACGTTGTTTTATTTCTGAAGTAAGCCTTATATAAAATTTACAAGAAGAGTAAAAATCGTCGAGTGCTTAAGAATCTAAATTAGGGTAATTTTTTAGTTCTTGTAAAGATGCATGAGCTGAAATTCCCAAATAATTTTTTTTAATGGGTACAAAATGTGTCGGATTTTTATGATCAAAATTTAATGCATCCACAGTTTTTATTCTTGAAACTTCAATATAATTACTACATACAGTTTTAATTATATCAATAACTGCTGGTTTAAGTTTATACAAAAGCGGACTTTCGGACTGAAACGTTTTGTTAAATATATTAAGAATATTTAGAATGTACGCCATAAATTCTAAATATATTTTTGTAAATTTGTTATTAATCGTACTTAGAGTTTGTTCATATCTAACTGAAAAATCTTCAAAACACAGTAAACGAAAATATTCGGTCGTATTGCTCAAGAACTCTTGTGCAACACTGCTCTAGTGAGAGCCATCTTGTTTGACTGGGCATGAGAATTTTATGGATTTCGGTCCCAAAAAAATTCTGAAATTCTTTAAATTTCTCCTGCCTATTAAAACTTCTGCTAAAATGAGCTCCAATGTTCCTCAAAAAATCCTCAACATGTCTAGATAATTCCAAACACTCTTTACTAGCACATAAATGAATCATGTGGCAAGAACATTTAATAAGTGCAATTTCCGGTAAATTGTTTTTTAAATGGGAGAATACCGAATTATATTCCCGCACCATAACATTGGTGGTATCAGAGGCAAATCCAATTAAATTACTCATTGGAATTTTTTTTGTCTCCAATGTGGACCTTAGACATTTGTATAGATCATCTGCAGTGCCAGGAGCAACTTCCATTATGTTAAAAAAACGAGTAACAACTTTGTTTTCATTGGAAAAATATATTACAGTAAACGCGCATTGTTTTATAGCTCCGACATCGGTCGTTTCGTCCATAATTAAAGAAAAGTAATTTCCCGGTTGCTTCAGAATGGAACACAGTTCTTCCTGAGCAAATTTACCTATGTTTCTTTTAATTATAGTAGTAGTTTTAGTCCGTTTACATGCTAAATCTTTTGCAATTTGGCTGTCTGGGAATATATATATCTACACAAAGGGCTTAAAATATCCATAAATTGAAATGGAACATTATTAAAAGTTACAGCTGCGGCTAATTTAATTTCGGCATTTTTAACCTTGTAATAATGTTTTTTATTTAAAATTTGGTCTAAATTTTGCGAAGTGTTGATGGTAGGTATTAATTAAATGTTTGTGCTTTTGTGATTTTGAATGTCTTAATATATCAACCTTATTGGGAAATATTGATAAATCACATACTTTGCATGAGCCATATTCAATACGATCATTTTTTTAACCTTATCAGACTTAATAAGCCAGTTCTTAAACTCATTAACCTCCAACCAGGCTGCATTAAATCGGTGAAATCGCTTTGATTGGTTATTTTTTTCTTTTTAATAGGCTTTTCTTCGTACTGTCATTGAGTTCCTAAAATCAAAGTAAAAATATAGAGCTTTAATTATACAATAAATATTACCACAAAAGCCTTAGAGCCTGCCTGAGAGCTAGTGCTGGCATCAGTACTAGCAGAACCGGAAGTATATTGAAATTTATTAAAAGATTCCTCCACAGGTGCATCATTTATAATTGTGATGTTAATGTCAGTATTGTTTCTGGAGTCTTCTAGCTCCTAAAAATAGTGTATATAGTAATTTAATATTAGTAAATATAAAGTTAATTCATTGGACTTATATTATTTAACTTAAATTATATTATATATATTTTTAATATCATAATGATCAATAAGCGGTACGAAAAACGATCCACTTAATATATATAATATATAATTACCCAATAAGCACAAATTACCCAAAAATTGTCCATTTCAAAATGGGCAATTATTGGGCACAGATACGACCGCTTTTACGGGCAATAATTGGCCAACTTTCTGGCCTGATTTTTTTAGAAATTGATATTCAAAATAAAAAAGGGTATTTTACAATAAAGTCAATCCATTTCAACTGTGACACTAACTATTCATGAAAACCTATTTGTAATGTTAAAAAAAAAACTATACAAAAAAAATCAAAACATTTAAACCGTGAATAATATTATAGGTGTACCTATAATATGTACACAGGATGGTCCAGAGCTCGCACCCCACCGGGAAAATGCTAATGGTAATGACAATAGAGATGTCAAAACTGCTTCGTTTGATAAATGAAGAGGTTTGAAATTGATCAATCCCAGGGTAGTGTTAAATATACAAAAATGATATATATATGAACAAGCCTTAACATTTTGGCAAGTTAAAGTTTGTAGGACTGACAAGCTTTGTCAAAAACGAATAAAAGTTTTAAAACTTTTTGTTTGACAAAGCTTTTTAGTCTTATTGACATATTCAAACTTGTTAAAATGTTAAGGCTTGTTCACATCATTTTGAATATTTGGAACTATCACTGGGATTGGTCAATTTCAAACCTTTTTATTTACCAGTTTTGGCATCTCTATGGTCGTTACCATTAGTGCTTTCCCGGTGGGGCACGAATTCTAGACCACCCTGTATAATATTCACTGTTTAAATGTTTTGATTTTTTTGTATACAGTGTATCTCAATTAGAGATGTGTCGGTCAGATCTGAACCGGCTCAGTAAACCGGGTCTTATAAGTGATCTACGTGAACCGGTTCACGAAAATTAAACGAACCGGCTCACGGGTCCGAAATTACAAAGCGGCCGCGCGCAAGCCTTTCTAAGCTCCGATTCACTGCTTCACCACTCGCAGCGAGTGACTCGCTATGCTGCTACAGTGCATTGAACAGGCCGCGCATGGCGAGCCGCTCGAGCCGTGAGCGGCGGGTCGCGAGAAATCTGAACCGGCTCCCTGGAGCTAAGAACGACTCGCGCTCGCAGTACGTTTTGTTTTCTGTGATCCAGATCTGACCACAACATCTCGATTCTCTAGGCGCGGCTCGATCATGACTGTTGTATCATGCAGCTCGCTAGTGCCTATGCCGGTCGCATCGTTCGGAACCGAACTTCTTGCGTTCTGTGGCGGGTTACTACGTTAGGCAAATTTATACTTTTGGTAATTTTTTACAAACCCACAGAAATATGAGATGATTTCCCTTATGACAATGTCGTTTAAAATATATTTTTAATATTAATTAATTTAAATTGTGTAAACTTACAACATTTATGTTTTAAATATAACTTTTCATGTAAAATATTAAAATAATAGAGTTTTTATTGTTTTATAAAATTTTAATAAAATAAATACTATGGTATAACAAAACTTTAATAAAATACAATGTAATATTTAATAGCCTTTATAATATTATTAAAATAACAATTTGTATTGCCTTATAATTTAATAAAGGCTCTTTAGTATTAAAGTGATAAACATTTTTAACATAAACTTAAAGTTTATGTGCTCCGAATGATTTCATTGGGTGTTATTTTTATTAAAAAATTTTTAATTAGTCTGAGATTCAAACGGTTCTTTTGAACCGGTTCGTTGAACCGGTTCACTTATGTGATCCAGATCTAGTGATCCGGTTCAAAAGAGTGACCCGGAACGCCCATCACTAATCTCAATATTTTAACATTACAAATTTTCATAAATATTTAGTGTCACAGTTGACATGACTTGACTCAATACTTTAATTCTCTAAAAAAATAATTACAATTACTGCATGTACATGAAAAAAACAACAAACTTTCTTAAATGTTTAAACATATAATATATTTATATATTATATAATATGAAATCAAATAAAGGTTTTTTTATCATTAAAAAGAGGGCACTTTTTTAGTTATGCAGACAAAGGTCCTTTGTGGTTGACATAAGTGAGTTAAAAATCCATGCACCTTTTCCCTCCGAACCGCCATATATGATATCGACGTGAAGTCTTAAATTAGGCTCCTTGATGTGATCACAATCAAACTCGAGTTGATCTATTCTTTGAATTCCTATTTCTTTGTTTCCCCTTATTTATTTAGGGCTTTTGTGACGACATCTTTAAATTCGTCTCCTTCTGGAAGGTCAAATCTTTTTGTTCCACCAAGAGAAGCTATAACATAAAAATATTTAGAACTCAATTAAAAAATTATGTATGTACATTTACCATAAATTGCATCTTCAAATGTTGTGTTTTCTAGTCTTACTGCCCTTTCTTTGTTTCCATTATATATAACTTTTTGGCAGCATTCATTGATAATTACTTTTTTTATAATTAAATAACAACCTAAATATTACAAACAAAATAATTTACAGCTGAATAGGTTATAATGTTGTATTATAGAATTCGCGGTTGGTTTCTAATAGTATTAGACTAATTAGTATTAATACTTACCAATTTTGTATTCTCTATAAAACAGACACACAAATAACTTCCAAGATCAAACGCACGTTTCTTTTAACAAGTAACCACAGATTATAAAATAACCGAAGAATATAAGCGTAGAGCTGAGTCGCATGCGAAAAGGATTCCAACCATAGATACGAAACAATAGACAAGAAACAACTATAGGTCTATAGACCTATAACTGATTCAACATCCACAGGATTATTGTTGTCCATAAACAAACCGTGATTTTCGACCTTATGTACTAAAACAAAACGCGATTTTCGACCTTATAAAACAAAACACACCTCGATTTTCGACTTTATGAACCAATTTATGATGCGGCGAAGCGAAACACTGGACATTATACGTCTAGTCATGGTAGAAATAAGTCTTATATTTACCATGCGTCTTTATTGTTTACTCACAATAATTATAACTTTTGAAAAAAAATCAGCTGACACGTGAAAACGGGCAATTACGGGGCATTTTTATACGAATAAGGTACTCCGGTTGATTGGCCAATGACTGGGCAATTATTAAATATCTACTATATTAAAATAAATGTATTGTACCAATTACAGAAATATCCTTAAAATAACCCAAAGAATCATCCTTAGAGATCCCTGCGGATAATTCTTTGGGTAATATTAAAGATTTTTCTGCAATATGTAAAATTTTATATAAATGTAGTTAATATTTAATAATTGCCCAGTCATTGGCCAATCAAACAGAGTACCGTGTTCGTATTGGAGTGTGCAATAATTGCCCAGTTTCACGTCCGGTTAATTAATCAATTATTAACAATTCGAATGGGCTAAAAATTGAGCAATGATGGGACTTGACATAAAATTTAAGTTACCCGGACAACATTTGTGATATCACGTTGAAGTGATCATTTAATGATTTTCTCTGCGTTGTTTTGAGATCATGGCCGCATACAGATGAGCCCTCATTGTGAAGTCATTATGAGATCATGACATGAAGACCTTAACAGATATTCTACGGAATGCGCATGCGCAATTGACAGCAAATTTGAATTAACCGCGAAATTTAAAATTATATAAAAGGCTTGTTATATTTTCAAAAAAATACAGAAATTTCCGCAAATAAAGTTTTTTCTTCTAAATAAATGTTCTTTAGAGTACAGAACATTTATTTAGAAAAAAAAACTTTATTTGCGGAAATTTTCTATATATTTTTAAAAATATAACAAGCACGATGTGTACATTTTAAAATTGGATATAGAACATTATAATTGTAGGGTTGAAGAATTATTGGGGTAAAAGTAAAACAATAAAATACTTCGAAGTATATATATACTGTTATATACAGGGTGCCCGGAAATAACATTTGGAAACTTCGGGAGCAGATTTCTTGGACAAAAATAAGAAAAAAGTTTCTGTGGACATGGGTCCAAAAATGCTTATTAACGGAAGTACAGCCCTCCAAAGTTGGGGCCCTAAAGAAGGGTTTTATTAATTATTTCAGGAACCGTGCAAGATAAAATAATGAAATTATGTACTAGGTAGAGTAAAAATATTCTCAAAATTTTCACCAGGGGTGGGTCAAATTGGTTAAGGTGTGGGGTAAAAATTTATTTGTATGTGCATTTTTTTTAATTTTAAAATGAAATTCTGAAATATTAAAGCTTTTTACAGAAAAAAAGGTACTCTTGTTCAACTTTGATATTTTTGAGTAAAATCGATTTTAACATCTCAATGCATGCCCAAAAATGTACCTATTTAATTTTGACCGATCAGTCAATCAATTTTAATTTTAGAGATAATTTTCATTCTATCTTACTGGGCATAAAAAGTTAATGAATATAAAAAACATTTTTAACAAAATAGGGTAAAATTTATGTTTGAAATTAAAATCAGCCAAAATCACATACATTTTTGGGCATGTAGGTATTGAGATGTGCAAATCGATTTTATTCAAAACGGTGCATATCTTATCAAAGTCGAACAAGAGTACCTTTTTTGTAAAGAGCTTCAATATTTCAGAATTTTATATCAAAATTGAAAAAAATAAATACAAATAAGTTAGAGCCATTTTCCCACCACCCCTGGTGAAAATTTTGAGAATATTTTTACTATGTACTACAGTAGTAACTATCTTATTGGGCATAGAAAAGTTATTACATGTACATAATTTCATTACTTTATCTGGCACGGTTCCTGAGATAATTAATAAAAACCTTCTTTAAGGCCCCAACTTTGGAGGGCTGTAGTTCCGTTAATAAGCATTTTCTGACCCAGGTCTATAGAAACCTTTTTTCCTATTTTTGTCCAAGGCATCAACTCCCGAAGTTTTCAAACGTTATTTATTAATAATTATTA